ATGTGTTTGTATTATGTAATAAGCTCGCACATTGAGACATTTATGTATGTATTCTACTTTTACGTTTCACAAGTGAAGACAATATCTAACTGACTTAACTATATTAATGATCGACAAAGCAAAGCAGTTGAAAAGAGCAAATATAGTACAACTATATTATGGAGGTCTCTCTAAATTGAAATGCAAAGAGAGAAAAAGTGGAAAAACCACAAAAAAGAAATAAAAATCAACATTATGAAAAACACATCCAGAAAATAATAAATAGAGAAAATAAGGGGCTTCCGACTATGTCGGCCTCTTCCTCTGATTCTTCTTAGGTTCTTCTGGTTCATCAATCACAATGTTTTTTATGTGTGATATTTTGGACCAAAACTCTCCAACATTGGGTTCATATTTTGTATATAAGTTAGCACAACCTTCAATCCTCAAACTTTCAAGTGCAGTGTGGTGATGAATGTTATCTGCCAGAGATAAAAGATTTGGACAATTTATTAAACCAAGTGCTTTGAGATCAGTCAGAGTAGTTAACCAATCTGGAAGTGTTTCGATATTGTCACAATTTAAAACATACAAGCACTGCAAGGATTTGGCAGCTTCCTGAAGCCATTTAGGCAGGGCCACCAGCTGTGATAAACTGTTAAATCCAATAAATTTTAACTTCAGCTTCGGGCTTTCTTTTTCATGATCGCCCTTCCACAGTTCCAAGTCCAAATTACCGCAGTCCGTAACAACCAATGTTTCTAATTCAGGAAAATTTTTACCATCCAGCGACATTGACTTTAAACTCTGACAGTTCAGAATGCGCAATGTTTTAAGAGAAGGGAATTTCACACCTCCAAAGATGGACTTCACATTATGGCATGATTCAATGTACAAGTATCCAAGCGACCCCAATTGGGCGATCTCATTCACAGGCAAAATAGTTTGCTTTGTGCTAAACTCCAAATGACGGATATTGATTAATTGTCTTAATCCTTTGGGCAATACTTCCAGCTCCATGCATCCCTTAATTAACAACACTTGCAAACTTTGGAGCTTGCAAATAGAGTTCGGGAGTCTCTTAATGTTGATATTTTCCTTCCAATCACATCTGAATCACTGACACGAGAGTGTGTCATATCTCTCCGATAAACAACACGTGTGTCAACATCAATTATTTGAAGACTAAACTTATGCCTATGCGCTGCAACCTTGTCTAGTCTTTTGTTGATATATTTAATTTGTTGTGTCATCTTGTAGCGAAAAAGAAGTGGATTAGAAGTGGAGAAGAAGTGACTTACCTTGTCTTTGGTGTTACCATGAGCTTTGACCACTTTGTTTTGCAGTGTTTGACACTCAAGTTCATCCAAAACATCTTCGGCTTCGGAGAAGACAGTTTTAAGGTGAGTGAGCCATTCGCGGAGTTGATGGTTGTGATCTTGCTTTTGCTGAGCATCTAACAGAACAGCCTTGACTAAAGAGAGAGTCTTTCTAAGGTTTCGAAGATCGTGGTATAAACCCACCACTCGATAAGCTTCTTGAAAAGCATGAGAAGCAAGCTTTGCTATGAGTGACTCTGCTATGCTGAAGAGAAATAATTCGGCCATAGTTGTTTGAAATACAAACGGAAGAGATGAGATTCCAGAACTACTCGACAACTAATGCCATTTGTTACATTATTTTCAGCAGCGGTTAAAAAGAAATAAGAGGGCAAATGATAAATACCCGCCAATAGAAATGGTTAAACAAAAGACTTTTGATATTGGTTTATTTTTAATTAGAAAATTTTTTAAATAGAAATAAAATATGCGAATAAATGAATATTGAGTAAAAGGAGTTAGTTTCTTTGACTACTCTGAACGTATTTTCTAATCCAACTCAAAACGAAACAAAAAAATAAAATAGACAAATTGTAACTTCACTCCAACGACATTTAAAGGCTAGCTGAATACTCTTTGTTTTGACTGATTCTTAAGAGCTTCAAGTCTTACCGGTCCTTTTCTCAAGTGAGATAAAATCTAAGTTAGGTGAGAATAAATGTTAGAGTAACCCATTGAATTCACTATTAATACGTTGTGTTGGGCTTTTATCTTTTTTTATGAACTAATCATGCTCTATATATGTTATTGTATAGTATGATATCTAGGCCGAATGGTTAGCATCCAAGATCGATCGGTTTATCTACAGTAGTCGTGCTCGTCAACCAGGTCAAATCAGGTTAAATGATGTTGGGTCACAATGCTCATCAACCAGGTCAAACCATGTTAAAAGGTGTTCGGTCACAATCGGGACAACATTTAAGTTATTGGACTAATAATGCAGCAGAAGATAAAATAATGAAAGATATCTGATCAAATATATTCATAAAGCTGTTTATGAGCAACTAACCGAATTTTAAGGTAAATCTGTTTAAGGTAAGTATGGTTATATTTTATTAGGCTTGTGATAACCTATAAATACAGGGTCAAGGCTAAAAGTTAGATACGTTCTACTCACACTCAAAAATACTCTACAGTGATGACAAAATCACTTTCTTAAGGGTTAAGGCTCCATAACCTAAGCCTAACTTGAGTGCTTTCTGCAGGTACATCCCCTTGCATCAAAGGACAAGTGAGTAGGAAAGCGAGCGACATAAACGTCCAAAGGCGACAAAGACACGTCAACAAGGTTAGTCTCTCAGTCCTACAAATCCCTGTCCAACACCTTTTAACCTGGTTTGACTTAGTTGACGAGCGTTGTGACCCAACATCATTTAACCTGGTTTGACCTGGTTGACGAGTGCTACTATATTAAATAAACCGATCGGTCTTGGATACTAACCGTTCGGCCTAGATATCATACTATACTGATATAATCCTCATTTCATGCTTAATTTGTGCGTTAAGTTGCTAATTATGCTTTACCTTCCGTTAATAATGTTAGATGTTGGTCTATCCATTCAACCAAATGGCTCATCATCAAGACCGATTGATCCACTTGTTAACCAAACAAGGAGTCCATACTATACACTTATATTCCAGATTCAAAAACACTTTCCAGCAAAGTCATTCTGAAATATAAAAAAAATTCTAAACAAGTTTTCCGAAAGATATTTTTCGGATCCAAAAATACTAAATACTATCCAGAAGACTCATTTTGGAAACTCTTTTATATTCCAGATCAAGAAATAACTATTGGAATAGTGATTTCAAAATATAAAAAAAAAAATATTTTAGAATGGACGTTTCAGAAAATATTTTTGGATTTAAAAATACCTTTCGAAACATCCTAGAAGTATTTATTTTTTTAAATAACCCAAACAACCACTTTTCCATGGTTAATTTTCTGTTAAATTTCCTTTCTTCTACAATCATTCACCTCACATCACACGTCGAGTGGGGATTTCGCTTTCAATCTTGCACATTTATGTGTAAAAGAAGAAAATGAAGCGAAAGGGAGGAAGGTGCTAGACATTTCGCAACACAAAGAAGGAAAGGTAATTTGAAATTAGTAATTTAGAGTTTTTAATATTTTTAATAAAAGGTAAAATGAGGATATTATAATTTATAGGGATGCAGGAAGAAAAAAGTGAGAGTGTAGGATGTAGTAACCCAGAGGCCACATATGGATTGAATCTAATGGTCCAATTATGAGCACATAAACCAACTCAACTCAAACCTAAGGTCCTATTTTAACTTTTCCCCACAAACTGCAACACTAATTGATTCAGCCAAATAAACATGCTCTCTCTCTCTCAACCCTCTCCACTTCAATATTTTTTATATAAGTTAGCACAACCTTCAATCCTAAAACTTCCCAAGTGCAGTGAGGTGATGAATATTATCTGATATAGACAATCTATATAACGAAGCGCTTTCAGATTAGTCAGAGTTGGTAACCGATCTGGAAGTGTTTCAATATTGTGACAATTTGAAACAAGCAAGTATTGTAAGGATTTGGCAGTTTTCCAAAGCCATTTAGGCAGGGCCATCAGCTGTGATAAAATTGTAAATCCAATAAATTTTAACTTCAGCTTGGGGCTTTCTTCTTCATGATCGCCCCCAACAACCAATGTTTCGAATTTAGGAAAATTTTGACCAACAATGACTTTAGACTCTGACAGTCCTGAACGCACAATATTTTAAGAGAAGGGACTTTCACCCATCCAAAGATGTTCAAGTATTCAAGCGATCCCAATTTGACTATCTCATTCATATGCAAAACAGTTTGCTTTGTGATAAATTCAGAAAAACAGATACTGATTAGTGTTCTTAATTCTTTGGGCAATACTTACAGCTTCATTCATAGGTTAATTGACCAACACTTGAAAACTTTGGAGCTTGCTAATAGAGTCAGAGAGATTTTTGCTAATGTCCAAATATCTCAAATGTTTCAACTTGACAATGCTACAGGGCAAAGTCCCCAATGTCAAACCACTTAAATCCAAAACTCGCAAGCATTTGAACTTTGACAGACACTTATTCAGTAAAGCTTTACAGTTGGGATATGCTGTACCAGTTGGAAACATTACGGTTCTCACAGCTGCTGATTTTTTTTATGACTAAATTGTCAAACAAATTGCTTTCAGCAAAAGACAGATATCAAATATTTTCTGGAATATTTTGAATGTTGGAACTTACATGTAGACACTCATCTTTTTCAACAAAAAGAGTTAGATCGATCATGCACCAAATCATGTATTCTAAAAGTATCAACAATGCCAACATTTTCAGAATCTTGGAGAAAAGATCTTGACTGGAGTTCATGCAAATATTGGTTGGCCATATCTGCAAGTGTCCTATTCGTTTTTGGTAGTGCAATGAGTCCAAGTGACCCCCAAATCGAAGCTATTTCATTACTAACGAATTCATAATCCTTTGGGTAAAGTGAAAACAATGCAAAACATTGCCTCAAATATGATGGAAAGAGATCATAACTCAGTTTAAGGGCAGGCAAATGTCATCTTTTTTCTGAGGCAAATTCAGGATTTTACTATCACTCACATATTCTCATTCACTGTCCTCAAATTTCGAGAATAGTAAACTACCTAATGTTCTCACTGCCAATGGAACCCCTCTACATTTTTTCACAATTTTCTCTGTTATTTTTTGATTTCGTGTTCGAAACAGTTGGTTCTCTTAAAAGGATGAAGTTTTAACTCGCGTAAGTACGTTAATATTATCAGAAGAAACAAAAACAATAAGTCAAAACATACCAAACTCACCAATAAAGTATAGGAAAACATTTTCGCAACAGTGACTAATAACTAACCTTTGATCTTGCTCGCACTCATCTTCAAAAACGCATATTCAAGCAAAAATGAAAATGAAAGTGCAAAGAAATAGTGGGAGTGAGTTAAGTTTTTGCAAATGTTTACAAGTCATATGAAGTCGGAAATAGCGTAATTTCGATGTCTTATAGATAATTGACTGTTGGAATCTAGGGCTTTAGAAGTAAATTGTTACAACTCTGCCAGCGAAAAATTTTAATGTTTTCAAGAGAATATGACGCTAGAATTCTCCACTTTCTGGCGTCTTCTTGCTCAGTAGGCAACCTAAAGGTCTTTGTTCAGATGTTGAAATTTTCACACAGGACATATGACGTTGAAATTACTACTTTCGACGTCTACTTGTTCAATGGGCTACCCAAAAGTCTTTGTTTTTAGGTTGAAATTTTCACACAGGACATATGATGACGTCAGAATTCTCCATTTTCCAATGTCAATTTTCTCATAGGACAAAACAAAAGAAAATGACACTTGAACAACCATTTTTGACAACATTTAGACACGCGCACACGTGTCAAAATCTGAGTGGTCCAGTTGGAAAAATTAAATGAAAATGGAACAATCAAATTTTGACACGTGTGCGCGTGTCTAAATGTTGTCAAAAATGGTTGTTCAAGTATCATTTTCCCAAAGCAAAAGGCAATAAATTCTTATAATTGCATTTACATCGTTCGAAAGTCATATGATATGCAAATATATAACGTCTAGAAGACTATTTTCTGACGTCTAATGTGTTAGGCTCAAAAATATCACTTTCACATTCTTTACATTTCTTATCTC